GAGATTTTCTTCTAAAGCAATATAAGGTAAATTTGAAACTTATATAGAATATAACCAATATCCGTATTATATTTCACGGTTTAAGTCTTTAGAAAAACATGACATCTGCAAGAGGAAGATCCTATAGGAAGTTATTTCTGGAAACGATGCAAAAGAACTTCAATTAGTTTTTGAAACTATATTAACCTTGAAAAACAATTATTTATAATCTAAAGGCACCACGATCATCAAAATAATTGTATTTTTCTTTTCAACAAATTTAGCAAATTTTATTTTTGTTTTACTTAGAATGACAAGGTTTTGTTAGCGAGTTGGCAATATCTCTACGAGCTATTTATTGATCATATAAACTCGATAGAATATAATAATGACATCAAATACTTTGAGTAAATAAATTATGTTTATATATGTGTTTTATTAATAGTTACTAATCATTGTTATCAATTTATAGTCCTATTAAAAGTAGCGTAATATGCGTAGATATTCTGGACCCTCAATTAAAGAAAAAATTGTCAAAAAATGACTTGGATGATTTATCAAAAAAATTATCCATTTCAATCAATGATTCTAATGCTTTACATGTAAAGAGCTATGTAGATGATATTCTAAATTGGTATACTGGTTTAAATACTGCACCGTTATGCAATAATTCAAAAAAGCCAGAAATTTCTTCAAGTTGTAGTCATGAAGAAAAAATACAATGTGAAATATATCAAACTATTTTGAACCATATATAAGTAAATAGTCGATTCATTATATATGGTAGTTTATTTAGTTGTTTAATTTGAAATTCTCATTTGTAGAGAACAAACTATCTGGTCAAATTCATATAATATAGACAAGATTAGTAAACAACAATACACATCTGATACAATTTATAGTTTTATATTCAGATCAATAAGGCATATTAATGATAACCTTTATACATTATTGTAAGTATGAATATATTTTAATTAGTTGCTATTTTTATTTTTATTTTTTTATTTAATTGATGTACACTTAATAATAGCAGTGAGATAACATCTACTGGATTCACTCAAAGAAAATGCCTTTATAAATTACTTGGATTAAATAAGAAGAAAAGTGCAATAGGTCGCCGTTGTGATTTAATTTTATGTGATCAATATGATTATGTACATTTGGTTGGTGAAGTGAGTGGACCACCCTCAAAAAAACTTCTAAATAAAGAAAGATTTGATCTTGGCAGAAACAATCGCAATGCCAAAGATGAAAAAAGCTTATGCGAACTAGCTATAATTGCAGAATTTGAACCAATTTTAGAGGAATCAGATTTAGATATTCTGTTAAATGAATTATATGTATTCATGATTCAAGTAAAAAGTAAGCATTGTTTTGCTAAGTTTATTTATTTATTTATAATAATAATCATTAATATTTATGCAGAGAAGACAATGGAAACATCTGTTCTTGATCATATGATGCAACAAATTTATCGTTCAAGACTTCTAAACCGGGCTGAGATCCCTTTGAACAAAAAGATTACGGATAAAGTAAATTTTCTACAATTTTTATTCACTATTTATGAATTAATCATGAGTATTTATTAACATCAATGAGACATTATATTTAAGATTTCTAACAATGTAATTCAAGGCTTCCATGATTAGATTGCTATTGCTGAAAATGCAAATAAAATGGACAAGTTGATAAACAAGCTTTCAAAAAAGAAGCAAGAATGGAAGGCCAATAATATTAATACTGACTTTGACTCTTTGACAATAAGTGATGCTGAAAAAAATTGGTCTTATCACAAGCAATTACTTTATCAACTCTATTATCTTCACCATCAAGTGATGACACACCCGATTCTACAAAAGCATCAATAGTAAATTTATTGGATTTTTTTATTACTCCGGCATGAGCAAAAGAAACTCTTAGAGAAATGACTCTTTATGTACTTTAGAGCATGTTTTTGCTACCAACACCATTCTTCATATACCAGAACGTTTGCCAATAAGTGCTGATGATGATGATTCAATCCCTGATATTAAAATTTGAAAGTCTTTTTTAATTATAAAAAATGTTATTAATCTGGACTTTCTATTATTAATAGATTAGAAAGATTAACAACACGGCTTATAATTAGAAATAAATTAATGAGTTGAAGCATGAATTATTATGAAAAAGATTGTTAGCCCGGATAAATTTATTTTTTTAAATAGTTTTGAAATATCAACAGTCTAGCTTATAATAAAAAGTGCTATCGACTGATTATATAACAAAAAACTTGTGCAATTCGATATTATGATTTTGAATTGTAATTAATATAATATAAATACTACAGAATGATAATAATGGGCTGAATTTTAAAAAAGCATATTTATATTATTTATTTACTCATTTTTTGACATTTTCCTATTCAAATAAAACTGCTTAAAAAAATTATTTTTGCTACCAATAATAATTTCGGGTATTCAAATTTTTAATTATTATACATATTGTTATTAGCTTGAATAATCCTGTAATATATTCATTAATACTTTAGAGATCTTAACACTTAGTATATCATAAGAATGAATCATTGTTGGCCTGGACAATTGATTAACTTATTTATTAATTCAGTAATTGGCTTTTAGTAGTAATCATGCCTGATATATCAACTTGAAATTGAACTTGAATTGTGTTACTATATAAATATCTGCGTTTTGCAACTAACAGAATGACTATATTATTTAATACTACTATATTCATGTTAATGTAAAAAGTATTTATATTTACTTGTAATGAATTTTAATAAATTTTAAAAGTTTAAGTGTCTTAGTATGAAATGCCTATGTTATCAGAATTTTAACTCAAATTATTAAGATATGATTGCAAATTAGTTTTAAAACTTAAAAAATTTACTAGGTTTAAAAAATTACTTTCGAATTTAACATATATTGATATTAAGTTTGTGAACCTCATATTGTATAAAAATAAATTTATATAGATATGCCAAATATTAATTCAGCTAAAAAATTGTTGAAGAAATTTAATGAGAGCAAAACACAAGAAAACTTTTCCTGAAAATAATATTAAACACGTGAGTATTTGGAGTAGATTTATTCAAATATAAAGGCAGATTTCGATATAAATTTGGGCAAAATTAGAGTATAAATTTTGGCAGAATTAGAATACAAATTTGGGCAAAATTAAGGTAGAAATTATTAATTTAGACAAAATTTGATTATAAATTTGGGCAAAATTATGGTATAAATTTTGGCAGAATTAGTAGTTTTCTGCAAAATGGAACTGAATACCCGGAATCAATCCAGAACCGAGCCACGGTTCGGTTTTGGATCTATATTTTTCAGATCTGATTATTTTCAGTTCTCAGTAGGCAGGTATCTGATGGACCCACATAAACTCACTTACGTTAATTACCTGATATTTGGCCAATATAATGCTAGATATCAGATGATTAAGTTTTTAAGTTAAAAATATGCGATACAAAATCTTAAATAAAAAAGAAATTCCGAAAAAACAGTGAACTGAAAATTGTCAATTCTTTATATTTGATTACAACTCTGAAAAAGCCTGAAAAAACTTTGACACCCAAAATTGTACTGTATAAGTTTAGTTCATAAATTAACTGTTGGCTTTGATTATAGTATTAGTGATATATACAAGGTCTTACTAATAAAACTTGCAATTTTCAAAAGAGCTTTAATGAAACGCCTAGACAATTGGTGTTTTAAATAATCTTTTACACTGTGAATTGGCCTTATGTGCTTTAAATAGAACAAATGAGTGTAGACAAAGTCTAATTAACAAATATTCACATAAAAAAAAAAAAAAAAAAGAAAAAGAAAAAAGAAAAGAATAAATAAAAAAGAAAAAAAAAAAAAGATAAAATAAAAAATAAAAAAAGCCCAGAGAAAATAATCTATAATTGGTATTTTGTGTGGGTTTTACTTCGTATATTACTATGGATAATGGTAGATAGAGCCTGATTAATAAAAAATCTCAAAAAAATTTTTTTTTAATTTTTTTTAAGCTTTCATAAGGTCGATCTCTTCTACACTATCAATTGAAAATAATGAAACGACTTGCTCAAATAAACTCAGAACCAGCGAGTCAAGTGAATTGACATCTGTATCATCGGGGCCTGCTACTACCACAAATAATGGATCATTTGTGTGGTATTACTTCAAAAAGAAGAATCCTCTGCCAGATATGATATCTGTAGAAAACCATTGAAATATTCTGATGGATCTACATCAAATCTTAGAAAGCATCTTAAGCTTTGTACTCACAGATATAAAGTTCCAGAACTAAATGATGAAAGGCCTTCTGTCTCTGACTTAGATATGTTGAAAAGTCAACAAAATTGTGAAATATAATACGGATATTGGTTATATTCTATATAAGTTTCAAATTTACCTTATATTGCTTTAGAAGAAAATCTC